GGGTGGGCTCAACCAGCCTGTGTGACAAAAATACAAAACTTTCTTTGTTAAGTGGCTGTTTACACACTTACCAGTTAGCCCAGTGTCTTGTCCCAATTAATCACATTACTCCCTAGGAAAGTTTATGTTTTAAATTTCACTCATAATAAAAGACTAAAAAGGATAAAAACTAAAGAAAAATTGCCAAGTCCATTTCTCTGCCTCAAAAAAAAAAAGAATATTAAGAATGTTGTGTGACATAACAATAAATTTGTGATTAACTGTACATTTTTCATTGCAGATGACTGTGTAAAGGACAAATATGGGGGTACTACTTTATATACATGTTTCCTATTGTTGAATAGTTTACTATAAGTAAAAATCCAGCTAAATATATTGGTGCTAAAATAAACTTAAAAATAAAGATTATCTAACAACATGAAATAAGTTTAAATTTTGAGACTTGCTATAAACCACAATTCAGGAATCTTAGTCAAAAGTTTATCTGAAGTTAGTTACATCAAAACTCCCATATTTGCCCAGCTGGTGTGGCTCAGTGATTGAGCATCAACCCATGAACCAAGAGGGCGTAGGTTTGCTTCCCAGTCAGGGCACATGCCAGGGTTGAGCGCTCGATCCCCAGTAGGGGGCATGCAGGAGGCAACAGACAGATGTTTCTCTCTAAACAATGTGTCTGTCTCCCTACCTGTCTGCCTTCCTCTCTCTCTCTAAAATCAATAAAAACATACTTTAAAAAAAAAACTCCCATACTGAACTAAAGATATAGACTTGCACATAAATTCAGATGGACCAAAATATACATGCTGTTCCAGTTGACAAGTACATTTGAGAGTATAAAATGCTCCTGCAAGACATGACATTTAACAAAGAAATGTTTTATTCAGTCTGTAAAAACCAAACTGAAAATAGTTACATCAAAATATAATTTTCCCCAGATGATATGGCTCAGTGGTTGAACATCGACCCATGAACCAGGTCACAGTTTGATTTCCGGTCAGGGCACATGTGGGGTTTGGGACTCAATCCTCAGTAGGGGGAGTGCAGGAGGCATCTGATCAATGATTCTCTCTCATCATTGATGTTTCTATCCCTCTCTCACTCTTCCTTTCTCTTTCTGAAATCAATACAAACATTTTTTAATTAAAAATATAACTTTTAAACCAGCAATAATTGGTAATCAGGTAATAAAAAAAAAAAGCAGCTCAGGAGGAACAACTAACAGAATACTAGGCACCCATATCACAGCATTAAAAAAAAAGTTCCACCCTAGAAGAGAAAAACTATTACGGCTAGATAACAAATGCTAAGCTGGCGGAATTAGCACAAGATGGAAAAAACTAAACAGTACCCAACCAATCCTTTTAAAATTATTATTTTGATTTTGAATTTTAATCTTTTCTCTTTCTCTGGTCATTTCAATGTTACATGTTTTGCCCAAGCTCTCTAGAAGACTACCGTGTGCTTGTCCCAGCATTGGTGCAAAACATTTTGAGTCTCAATTGTGTTATTGTTCTTTATCAGGCCAACTGAAGATACAGTTTTAACCCAACAGAATCAGAGTTGGGCAGGCTGAATTTTCCAAGCCATCTGCTGTACCCTCCAAAGAGAGATACCGAACCCAGTGTTCACTTCAGTGGAGAGCATGAGTAGCTCCATGACTCAGAAGTACAAAGTGCCCAAATCCAGAGTGGAGTCACACTTAAGGAAAGGAGAGAGGTGGGTCTGAATTGTGGATCTGGCGCTTACTGTGTGATCCAGAGGAAGTACCCAAGCCCTCTAAGTCTCAGTGTTCCCACCTGCAGAAGGGAGCAATGATATCTATTGTACAGCGTTATTATAAAGAATAAATGAGGATAACATATACAAAGTACATGCCATGGTTTTACACCTTGACAAAAATGCATAATCAAATATTATATCCTCTCTATTTTTAAAAAACAAAGATATATGATTTTGGGATAGATTCACTAGACCTCAACATGCATCTGTTCAAAAAAAGGTGAGAGGGAATGGCCACGTACCGATTCCCACAATTTAAGGTCCCCAGACTCAAAAGGAAAACACACGTGTAGCTGCACCCTTGGACATACCGCTCAATTCAATTCAACTCAATGTTAGAAGATGCAAAAGAAAAAAAGACTAGACATTCTTCCTACCTTCACTGATTCACAACCTAAAAGAGGTTCACATCAAGTTATGGGCAATGTTGAAATCCAAAAAGTTCTTAAAATAAATTTTTTAAACTGTTTCAATATATAAATTTGGTGGCCAAATCAGTCCTAAACTTGAACTGGCTAGAGGCTCAATAGCCATTACACTTGTATTGAATGTAAACATTTACATATTGCAAGTCTTGTTATGTGGTGAGGTCCCAAATCCCACTGATGATGTGACATAATAAGTGGCATAATGCAGTAGCTTTGGAGAATATAAAGTATTCCAAGTTCCAAAACACACATAGCCCAAGGATTTCAGACAAGGGAGTCTGAACAATCTCTACTTAAGGAATAAAAGGGAGAGTAACATTATGAAAAGGTAAACTGCTTAAGGGGGAAACCTGGATTGAAGAATGTATTTTCTATCCCTCTTAAGTTAGAATTGGCTTAGAAACCTTGGATATTGTATAATATGGAAACAATAACACTACTTACATCACTGAGTTCCTAGAGAAGCAAGAAATGATCCATACAAAATGCTATAAACAATGCCTGGCACAAAGTAAATACCAATAAATACCGTGTAAAGAAAGTGCCTAGAAAAATACTTTGAACATTTACTAGGAAAAGGCAAACAGGTGAATACAGAGTTCAGATAGTTATCTGGCTCTATACCATATCATATTTTGGAATTTTATTTTTTAAAATCTAAGAGTTTTCTTTTTCCTCTGCCCAGAGGTATTTCTACCATCAGGCCTCAGAGGTAGTAGTATCCGTGCACGTCCTGGGGGCAGGTGGCAATCTCAGCGGAGCGGACAAGCATGTGGAGCTGATGGAACGTACTAGGATGCCAAGCTCTTAATGCACAGATATATTATTTGGAAAGAAATGAACAATGAATAGCAACCTAGAGGAATGTTTCCTGAATTAAATGTACAAACTAATCAGCCAGAGTTTTTGTTAAAATGCAGATTCTAAGTTAATGTGATAGGGCCAGAATTCTGCATTCAAGTTCTCAGGGAGTCAGAAGGCTGCTGACCCACACGGGGAGTAGTAAGGCCCCATAGCAGTGGTCCTCACTGTGACTTGGCAACATCAGAATCTCTTGGGAGTTATTAGAAAAGCAAACCCTGGGGCATAAGGAAATGCTGGGAGATTGTTGATCTAAATCGGCTGTTTACATCCAGGCAGACTTTTCCTGGGAATAAAAGTAGAATACTTTTTAAATACATTAAAAATAAAAGGAGTCTAGGAGACTATGTCACCTAAATAAGAAACCGGACTTCTCTCTGCAAGCAATTACCAAAACTATAGGCCCTGCAATTACACTTAAAATGCAGGCTTTGACATGCTAAGAAGTCTGCTCTGAGGATATAGAGGCAGAAGTGTATAGAACCACTTACCAACTAGTCACAAAATAGATCATTTCCATTTCACCTAGTTAACAGAGATAGGGCTTTGTAAAGAAACCAAACTGAGTTTTCTATTTCCTTGTGTTGAGAATGTAACCCAACTACATCATGGTTTAGCCAACTTCTCCAAAGTAATGTTTACACATCCCCTGGCTCATATGTAAATATATGTCAACAGTTTGATTTATAGCTATAGGTGATCTGTTTATATACACAGATACACAGACACAAATTACAGTACATTAATGGTTTGAAACACAATATTTCTAAAGGACAAAAAACCTGGAGGGTAAACTATAAATAAAGAATGTCATGACCAGAAAAAAGATTTCAGTTTTTTGATTGTTAAATAGGTGGTTTTCCCAAAACTTTATGATAGACTGATGCATTCGGAATTCAGATTTCGTTTTCTTTTTCAACTTCCAAGTTTGAACGTACAAGTTGACCTTTCAAACAAGTTTACAAGTTCACCTCTCAGAAACTGAGCACACAGTTCTGTCCTCCATCTATTTTTAAAGAAATCAGTTACTGACCTTGAAAGGCACTGCACTTGCTTCAGGGCTGGGGGTGGACCCCCTTGATTTCTGCCAGGACCATGCCTTTCACACAGTGCTGTTCCCACCATGGGAGGGAGGGAGGGAGAGAGGGAGGGGTGTTTCTGTATGTAGTGAGCTGGGGCCAGGCTTGCTGCTCAACTCCCAATGCAGGAAACAGTGCCCTCAACAAAGAATTACCCAACCTCAAATGCCAACAATGCCAAGGACAGGAAACCTTGCTTTAAGCAATTGATGTTCTGTATAGACATCATTATTATATTCCAAGCACAGTGTGAAGCACAGGGATAAATATTTGTTGATTATTAAATAAATTACCTCTGTGTAGCTGGGGCCTTAGAGTCATAGAGATGAAAAAGAATGAGAAAGGGGTTATTATACATGGAATGTCTCAAACTACCAAACAAAATTAGTCATTGTCAGAACCAGAAAAAAATTTAAAAAGTCAGTCAGTCCAATCCCTGTGTTTTGGGAATAATATTTTCATATGAAAGATGCTTTCTAATGTACTGATATTATGGTGATGGGGGATCAGTCCTCTTAATAGTAAAAGTAAAATATAAAATCTTTATAAATTTTCTAAAATATCGGTTTCTACTTTGAATAGTGCCAATGTCCCATACTTTCTTCAAATTAATAAAGCATTTCCTCTATAAAAAGTAAGACCAATATGACATAAATCACACATAATAAGTGATATTTCACAAGCGGGAAACAAAGCAACATGTAATTATTTTTCAAAAAAGCAAATCGCAGACTTCCACGGCCTACGGGCATTTATACTTCTGAGTATTGTGAGATCTAAAATGTCATGAGAAATTCTGAACTGGCTTACATTTCTGAAACACAGGAACTGAGAGTCGCAAGGCCACACATACCCTTAATAATCGATTCAGCTGCACACAAATCTCGTTTGTAGGTCACCTAAAGGACAGATAAACCTCATTAGACTTAACAGAGCAGGAAGGAATGTGAGAGCAATAAAATTATGCCCCCAAGGAAATTCTTGATTTTAGAGAAACTATAAACACATAATACTGACAATTTCTAAATTACATCAACGTCAGCAAATTCTGAATAATGTATTCTATTTCTACAAATGGTTAAAGATTTGTTTATTGAATTCTTATTAAGGTAACAGAAGTTTATCAAAGAATATGTGGTAGTATTTATATTAAAGTATTAGAATTATTGTTTAATAGTGAGGTTTTTACTTAGGAAGGAAGAAAAGGTAAGTATAACGAAAATCACCACATCACATTTTTAGTTTAAATGAGGAAATTCTCAAAGGTCAATTCACATTAAGAAGGGAGTTTCTTCTGAATTGAGGATGTCTGTATGTACCCACAAGGTTCACCTTATGAGGATTTTATGGCTCTGATAAAAAGAGCAGAGAAGGCACCACCATGTGCATGAGAATAATCACAATCTTTCCTTAAAAACACACAGCCTCCTTGCAATTGTAACGGGCTCTTTGTAATGTAACCTGACATGGTCCTATGGCAGATCGTCCCAGGCCACATCAGTGAGCTCAGATTTAGAACATGTCAGGTGTACTGCATCACAGAATAGTTCTCCTATACCATAGAACTGAAAATGTAGTAAGTAGTGAACTAACTAATAAATACTATAAGGTCTTAGGAGCTCATCATTCAAGTGCCCAGATGATTAGAATGCAAATGGTCTAAAAACCCACTTTGAGAAGTATTCACCAAATTAGTACATGATTTCTATGCCTACAATTGAAACTATTTTTCCCCTCCAAATTATCTCATAACTACACTAGTACAGAAACTTCGCTCAGCTCAAGTGGCCCAGGGCACTTCTACCCAAAATAGATTCCTGTGCTGTGCCTTTATCCTGGCTGGTAAATCCTAGCCCAAAACTACAATCCAGAATTAAAGTAGCAGTCAATCTGTAAGATAGATGAGAAGTTGCTCAAGCATTCAACTAATCTATTTAAATTAAATGTGACATTGCTACATTATCTCTAAATCAAGTACATGCCAACCAAAACTAGTACTATAGTTACTGATCTACTATCTGGAAAAAAATAGAAAACAGACATTTAAAAGTTCATGCTGTGCATTTTACCAAATTAAAGGATGTATTGATCTCATTCATTCATTTAACAAATACTTATCATATAACTACTGTGTTCTAGGTCCTATTCAAGGTCCTGTTCTAGTGCGGGCAACAGAGGATTCAAAAGAATGGGCAAAACTCCTTCACTTGAGTGGATTACATTTTAGTGGAGAGATTTTTCTTATAAGAGACAGAGAAACATTGATCAGAGTGTCAAATCTCAGAGGGAAGGTAGGGGAGGGTGGGGGTAAGGGGGAGAGATCAACCAAAGGACTTGTATGCGTGCATATAAGCCTAACCAATGGACACAGACAACAGGGGGGTGAGGGCATGAGTGGGGGGAGGGTACGAGGGCATGAGTGGGGGGGGTGCGAGGGCAATGGGGGGGAGGTAAGGACACACATGTAATTCCTTAATAACCAAGGGAGCAAGGCAAAGGGGGGGGGGGGTGAGGGCATGATTGGGGGAATAGGGGGTAATGTGGGGATAAGGACACATATGTAATACCTTAATCAATAAAGAAATTTTAAAAATAAGTAAGTAAATAAATAAAACTCCAAAAGAAAGTGTTAAATGTTTTTCTTTAGTTGTTTGAAAAATCAAAGTTAACTAGGTATCTGAAATCAAGATTCAATGTTTGCAATTTAAATGAGAAAATGCCTTTTTTCTACATTTGTCCACTGTGTAGGATAAACTTAGAAATTAATGGGAAGGTGGTTAATTACCTCAATTACCATTATTCATCTCTATCCCCTCCTGCTTTTGTTATGGGATAAGACTGCATTCCAACTAAAAATAGAATTGTGAAAGTCCCTTTTTTTCTCAAATAAATCTTACTGATGGTTTTAATTAAAAGAAAACTTGGTTTCAAATACTAAAATGTTTTTCTAGCATACTTTCAAGACAACATTTTTGCATTGGAGTCTGTTTTATGAATAAAATACATGTCTTTATTACCCAAAGGTCCTCTCTCCACTATTATTAAATAATTAACTGTGCAAACAAGAAAGAGTCCTAAATTTCCTTTTTTTGTCTACTTTTTTCTTATAGGCTGTGAATACCACCTATGTGCTGATTAAAGGTTTTGTATTTTATTAATATCTTCAACATAAAGTCTTATTGAATACCTCAGCAACACTTCTCAAACACTGTTGTAATAAAATAAATAACAAAATATTCCTGTTAAACTTGTTAAATACTGAGTCTAAAACAGCCCCTTTTTCTAATATATATATCGAAGGGAAAAGTACTGGGAAATGTAATTCTGAATTAATGACTTACTCCTTTTCTGTCAGACTCTTATAGTAATATAGGTTGCCCTTTCCTTATTTTTAATTTCAAAAACAGTTTAATGATTAGTTTTGAAACTGATTTCCTTCTGTCGGCATGACCTGCAGTTTTTCTTTGTCTTTACATGACACATTATGACAGTTACTTTTTAAAAAATCAACCTTGTAGTGATGGGAGGGAGACCTGGTCCTCTGATTTACTTGTTTTCACACAGGGGCTTTAGAGCCTCAGTGCCACCTGCACCCCAGGGGAGGGGCTCTGGGCAGCTGAGAATCTGAGCCCCACACCTGCCACTCACCTAGGGAAGCTCAAGTTCTGTCTGTGTAGCTCGACTGTGCTTCATTGCAATATTTCATCTGGGTTAAGTGTTTAGGATATATATATAGATCTATATAGATATAGAGATATATAGATATTATATATATCTATATAGATATAGATATAGATATAGATACACACACGAAATATACATACATATATACACATATGCATGTATACATGTGTATACATACATACATGTATTTTTTTCAATGGAAGAAAAACTTGAAACTGAGAGCCACAGACATAGTTGTCTTCCAACTACTAGGCCAGGGCTCTCTCAGCTACCTCCAGGTGAGCACCAAAAAAACGCAAACACTGTCACACCTACTTTGTGTTGTTCCATCTGCATTAACACTCAATATCGTAAATGAGACTTTTCAGGGCCAAGTCCAGTTGGCTATCATCTTACATGAGTTAAGATATACTACACTGAATGTTCTCCCACCTTTCACTGCATAAGGAAATGAATATGTAACTCCAGTAATTAGAATCCAGAAAATCTTAAAATTTAAAGATATATGATGTTTACTAGATACAAACGTAGACTAGTGGATATTTATTATATTTATTGCAATTTCATCAATTACATCTATGTTGAAAATATTCTTTCCTCTAGACTGAATAGCTAGATGAAAACCTCCAAAAAAGGAATTATGCCACCACAGTGTCTTTTTGAGATTTAAAAAAAGGCAAAAAGTGAGACTGTTTTGTTTCTTTGGTTCTTAACAAGGATGCTAGAACACTTGGCTCTTAAAAAAAAGTTCACATCAAAAAGAATCCTCAAGACTCAGCCATTCCATTGAGTAATACTATGATGACTCAAACGCTTCAGAAACTCCTCCTAAAGAAGCCTTTTCAGACAACGGGACACAGCTGAATTTCTTAAATAACTGGTTATAAAACTCCTATAAATCTTTCAAGCCTTGAAGATGGTTTTACATTTAGAAACAGGAAGTCTGTTCAATTAGATCTGTACAGTGTAGTCAGTGATCAAATATTTAATTATATTGGGACCAAAAGACGGCACATCCATACATTAAAGAGATGGAAGTCCTATAGGTGAGATGGAATTCCACTGAGTGCAGAATGTGTTCACTGAGCCTGACAAGGCACCAGCACTCAGAAAGCAGGAGAGCTAACACCTATTCCTGGAGTCAGTCCTGTTCTCTTCTGTGGTTGGTCACTCTTTGGGGAGGGGGTGGCTCATTTATGGGGATGTCCTCCTCTCTGCAGGGTGATTTGAAAAAACTGATGTTTCCTCCATGCCCCAGGGTACCTGCTACAAGAACACTGGCATCAACTCTGAATTTTACCTTTTACATTTATTTCTACCAAAAAAAAGTATGTAAAATACAGAAATAATAACCCTCCTGGGATTTCTGGTATCAGAGTAACAGTCCTAGTCATTCCCCACACCACTGAGAGGGTGAACACCCTGACTTCGGAGAGATAGGGGAAGGTGTCCTGGCCCTGCTGTTTTCTGGTAGTACCATGCCTCTTGAGATGTGTTTGTCGCTGTGTCAGATTTCTGAATCATGCTCCAGGTACTTGGCACAGCCTCCTGAGTCCAGTACTAATTTTAGCATAATTATACTAAATCTTTTCTCAAATCTGAGTTTTAGCCAATGGTAGAATCATTGGAATTATTATAGAATTAGAACACTAATGTCAAAGCGTATATTCCATTGTTTTGGTTTAAAAGCAACTGAAATAGTCTTTATCCATACGAAATGGTAATACCATAAAATTAATTAAATTAGAAGCCTATAATAAAGACATCTCATACAATGTCATCATAAGAGGATAAATTGGGCTAAATAAACAGCTGGGAAGTTATAAAAAAAAGCTAGGGGCCCAGTGCACGAATTCATGCACCTTGAAAGGAACTGTGGGCCATGAGGCTGCAGTGGGCACAGGGGCAGGTCTCAGCCCATCCTCTGTACCCCCACCCGACCTCTCCCACCACGGCCCCCAGTCCCATCTGCCGGCAGTCCCACTCTTGCTGCCGCAACTCCCACACGCTGATGGCACGGCCCCGCTCGCACCAGCTGATGGTGCAGAGCAATTGGGGCTGGCGTCAGCAGTGGGTGCAAGTGGGGCTGGGGCTGTCAGAGGGTGTGAGCAGCAGCTGCTGCCTCGATTGCCTCTCAGGAGCAGGGGGAGGTAGAGAAGCCCTCAGGGGCAATTGGGGACAGCAGCTGCCACTTGCACCCACTGACGGCACAATCGGAACTGGTGCCCAGTGTCAGCACTGGGTGTGAGCAGCAGAGCCAGCACCGGCAGTGGGTGTGAGTATCATCATGTATTTTACCTTTAACTTTTTTCAGGAACTTCCAAACTCTTTTTCATAGTGCCAACCCCAATCGCTCAGCGCTATCTGGGTGTGAGCAGCGGCTACTGGCCCCGATCGCCACTCAGGGCTTCTCTATCTCTCCCTGCTCCTGAGGGGTGATCGGGGCCGGCAGCTGCCGCTGGCACCTGCTGATGGCCGCTGAGTGATTGAGGCCAGCACCAGGCACCGGCAGTCGGTGCAAGTGGCAGCTCCGGTGCCAGCAGCAAATGCAAGCAGGGCCAGTGCCGGCAGCAGGTGTGAGCACCGGGTGGGACTGCAGTGCAAGGGAGCAAAGAATTTTCAATAATCACCAGAGGCTGGCCCCGATGACAGCGACTGGCACCCCGCCTTGGACTAGTGCCCCTGCTCACCTGCTCCACTATCCCACCGTGGCCGACACCTGCCATGTTCTGCGCATATCCCCTGGTGGTAAACGCATGTCATAGCGACTGGTTGTTCAGTTGTTCTGCTGTTCGGTTTACTTGCATATTAGGATTTTATATATATAGATATAATGGTGGAAGATAATGAATGACAGGAGGCAGGAGAAGGAAACAGGGAACCAGAAACAACTGCAATATTTATACTCTAAGTAATGTCACCTTACTTAAGAAAAGAAATGTGATATCTATAAAAGGCCTCATAACTGTAATATGAAATACTTTTTTGCCCAATCCATTGCATTACATGCCCCATTAGAATTCAAGATCCTGTTAAAACACATCATAATTTCAAAAAAATTGGCACTCCCACCCCAGGACTATTGTGGAAAGCAGAGTTCTATTCTCAAATCCAGTTGAGTGTAAGGAAATAGAGTAAAAGGACACACATAGAGAACAAGAAAAAAAAGTGAATTAAAGCAGTGTTACTGGCTAACTAGATTTTTAAAAATAAGTTGTGTCAAAATAAATTTTCTTAAAACCAAACAATAGAAATGATACCATACTTTGATGGCTCAGAAAATCCAGTGAAACTCTTTTAAATCCCTTAATGTAGGCATGCATACACACACACACCCCTTTTCTTCCAGAAAGTGTTTCAGGATGAAACCAAGTATTTTTATACTACTTCCCCGTTTTCTAAAGCACCCGTATAAGGTGTTTGTACTTGCAAACTGTGTCTTCAGGAATGACATAAGCACAGACAATTCCCAGAACAAAGTACCAACTCCATTACCTTCCAGAGATCAGGTGATCCTTCCACAAGTTTGGCTTTGACATGACAGTATTTTAGTGCCAGGTGCAAACATTCAGTTCCAAATTCCAGGTCATAGTCGCTACACTGGGTAGGGGGAAAAAGAGTTAACAAGTTAAAATAAGATTTTAAGGAAAATTTAATCAATTATTATATCATCAATTACATAGAAAAAAGGAAGAGCCTAGAGAATTTCCAAGCTCTTTGATTAGCTACTGATTATTCAAGTTATAGAATAATTCTCCTTATGCCCTAAAAGCCAGTAGAAAATAGGAATGTTTCAATTGTAAGAGTCTCAAACTTCCTCAGTCATTTCAGGTGTCAGATAAACATAATATTTAATTTCTTTTGTTCATAAGCTATCTTTCCAAACATGTTTCTAAAATGCCTGAGGATTTCCATATCATAATTTGATTTTACAAATATATATATTCATAAAACTCCAAATCCCCTACCTTATATGTATATCAATTTATAGTTGTAGGTCATAGGTCTCTCATTCATCTGAATAGTTTAAATATCAATACATCCTTTTAAAACTATTTATATTTTTATTCTGAAACTGGACACAGTTTTACAAAGGTCTTTTATACATTTAGGAATATATAAACAACAACATTTTAAAGCATATTAAGCAGAATCATTAAAATGACCAACATAATATGATTCAGTTGAATAATACTGAGTGCCTATTATATGCTTTGTATTAAATGACACCATATAAATATAAATGAGACATTTATTGTGTCCTCAAGGACTCAAGCCTAGAAGGGGAGACTGGTTTATAGCAAACATTTTGCTACCGAATGTGACAGATGTAGCCCTAGAAGAGAATCTAGAAGTAGGTCAGGAGATAAAATGCTTAATGCTATGTGAGGGCTTCAGGGAAAACCTAGCAGAGGAAAATCTCTATTTTGTACTTCCAGCATCTGCACAACCTCATCTATTAGTATGGGAGGGAGATGTATGTACAGTGACAGTGTTCTCTTTAACCTGTGGTTAAATCCCAAAGATGACTAGCAATGATGTTTTTCCTGACTCTTCCCAGAGGCAGGATACTGAGCACACCTGGGGACAGCCCTCAACACGCTCACAAAATGAATACTGAGAGGAGCCCATAGCAACAGCTACTCCTGCCATCCCAGCTGGTGGGGTAAGAATATTACTTGATGCTGTGCCCTGCCAGCCATGTGATGTACTAGACAAGATGACAACAGCCTATGAATTGCATAAAGTCTCCAGGATCACTGGGAATCATGAAAAATTATGGGTCAGGTATAAATATATACCAGAAATAGAGACTAAGTATTTTGACAGAAAGACTAGTCTAAACTTTTCATTCATTGGATAGAACGATATTACAACTATTCATGGAGTTTTTAGTAATTTTTGACATTAAAACCTTGCTTGCACAATGAGTTCGAACAATGCATGCTTCATGACAAGTTGCATTTGAACTTCTGTGTCATAAGAACACTGATGATGACTTCCACTTTTCTCTAGGATATGGGAAGTTGGAAAAAATGATGCTCATTTCTGAAGAAAAGAAACAGCAGGTAAACTATACAAGCACAACTTTTTCTTGAACCCAGAACTGAGGCCACAGATAATCACTAAACAGACATTTTTAAGTTATGAATAAGAAATCAATAGTGATAAAATGAAATTATAAAAAATAAGATATTAATACAAAGGCAGAGAGAAAAAGCACAGATGGAACTAATAGAAAATACCCAGCAAGATGATATTTAACCAAGAAAGATAATGCATGTGTACTTGCACAAAATGTCAACATTTATTATCCAGCATGGGGGTCGTAGTGATATCACTTATCACATGAAACACACACACACACACACACACACACACACACACAGATGCTGAGAATTCCATGCCTCCCTAAACTTGGAGCCCAAGTTAGTGTGGAACAATGTTCTCCCCAGACAGAAGTCCTGAGGACACTCTTTTCAGAGGTCCCCAAATTCACAGTCCATCCCAGTCATGTTACAGTAAAGATCACAGTCAACAAGTTTCATCTTCGAACCCACCAACCAGTCTCCAGCACACAAACATGAGCAGAAAACCCAGATTTAACTGAAACCCAAGGGAAAACTCAAACATAAAAGTTAAAAAGGCAAAAAGTAAAAATTTTTGGAGAAACTAGAAAGTATGCAGTTAAAAAAAAAGCCCAGAATGAAAAAGGTTATATACTCATAAATAAGACAGGATAATATTTAAAAGAATGGAAAATTGAAAAATAGGAGAGAAAAGAATAATTAATGATAAATACAAAGTCCAATATGTTTTTTATAAAAAAGAAGAAAGAAAGAAAACAGAAGGAAAGAACAGAAAAGGGTAGGACAAGGAAACAACCTAATAAGTTTTTTAAACTGCAGTAATGAAGAACATGAGTCTCCAAATTAAAAATCCTTCTGAAATAAAGAAGCTAATAGATGAAAGTACAATTAGCAGCAACAACAAAAGGTCTTATAAAGAAGCAGAAATCCAACTTAGTTGAGACTTCTTAATAGCAACAATAAAAATCAGAAAAACAATGGGATGGTGTCTTCATAATTTCAAAGGTAATGATTGTCAATGTAAAACTATACTCCCAGAAAAGCTATATATCATTTTTGAGGGCAGAATATAAAGTTTTACAAATATTGGAGGTCTCAACAGAATTTAAATTTCTGTGGGCTCATTTTTGAGCTTTATAACAGAGTTTGGAGAGCAGTTTTAGGTTCATAGCATAATGGGGCCAAAAGTACTGATATTTCCAATATACCCTCTACTGCCACATAGTCACAGCCTGCCCCACTATACTAGTAAAAACCCTACACCAGAGTGGTACATTTATTAAAATCAATGAACCTACACCACTAAATCATTATCATCCAAAGCCCAGAGTTTACATTAGAGTTTACTCTGACTGTTTCACAGCATATAGTTTGATACAAATGTATAATAATCTATCTATATCATAAAAGGCCTGTGGTTGTGACACCGCAATGGTGGAAAGACTAAACAACCGGTCACCAGGAGGTTCATGGAACACCTCTTGTGGGCTGGGACTCGCAACTTGCGCGGGGCTGGCGGGGCTGGCACAGCGGAAGTAGGGCCCATGGCTCGTGTGGTGGAGGTGGGGCCTGTGGCTCACACAGGGCGGGTCGAGGGTCCTGTCAGTGCGGCAGGTCTGGGTCTTGCACGATTTTGCACACTGGGTCACTAGTCTATAATAAAAGTGTAGTATGCTAATTAGATTGGACGTACTTCTGGACGTCCTTCCGGACGACCTTCCAGATAAAGCCAGTGCTGCAATGGAAGCCCTGGTCCCAGGTGCCTGCTGGTGGCTGGAGGGAAGCCCAAGTCCCG